CGTTTTCTCCACTCTCACTCTTTTTGATTTTCAATAAATTTTACTTTCTTATTGCCCTTATGTGACTGTTAATTAGTTCACAATTACTAAAGCGTACATGTGGTGTTTGTTTTCAACTCTTGAGATGTTTTGCTTACGATTATATCCGGTTCCATACAAATTGCTACAAAAGATATTAATTCGTTGCTTCTATTGCTGAGTAGTACACAATAGTCTTTTTAAATTTCAAAATATTAAGAGTGTATAAATGTTTTTATTACATAGATAGGTTTTGTAATTTCCTTATCCATCAAATAGTGTTCATTGTACCTGTTATGTAGATTTTTGCTCCTCCTATCCTCCCCACTTCCACCTTCCCAATTTTCAATGACTTTTACTTACTTCTGTGTGGATATGTGCCTATGAGTTAGTTGCAAATTACTAGAGAGCACATGTGGTATTTGTTTTTCTATATTGAGATACTTAGGATAGCAGTCTTCAGTTCCTTCCAAATTAATGCCAAAGACATTATTTCTTTTTATAGCTGACCAGTCCTACATGGTATACAACTACCATATTTTGTTAACCCATTCCTTATTGACGAGCATTAAGATGGATTCCATATCTTTATGATTATGAATTGTGCTGCAGTGATCACTTAAGTGCAGATGTCTTTTTGATAAAAGTGACTTATTTTCCTTTGAGTGGGTACCTGGTAGGGGATTAATGGATTGAATGATATGTCTACTTTGGGTTTTTTGATGAATCGCTGTACTGTTTTCAATAGAGGTTGTAGTATTCTAATTTCCAGTCCAACCAACAGTGTATAAGTAGTTCCTTCTCTCTGCATCACTGCCACCATCTATTGTTTTTTTGTTTGCTTGTTTTGCTTTTTACTTTTTAATAAAAGCCATGCTGATAGGAGTAAGGTTGTATCTCACTGTGAACTTAATTTATATTCCCCAGTGTAGTGATATTGAACATTTTTTCATATGTTTGTTGCCCATTTGCCTATCTTCTTTTAAGAAAATTCTGTTCATCTCTTTTCCTCATTTTTAATGGATTTTTTGTTTCTTCATTGCAAACTTGTTTGAGTTCTTTGTAGATTATGGATATTACCCTTTAGAAGATGTGTAGTTGTGAATATTTCCCCCATTCTGTAGGTTGCCTATTGCTCTGTTGATTATTTTCATAGCGGTTTAGAAGTTTTCTTTTTTTTTTTTTTTACTAAGTCAAATACACATAGATCATGAATACATTCATGCATATGTGGGGTACAATGTGTTGATTTTTTTAATACAATCTGACATGGTTACATCAAACCAATCAACATAGCTTTCACTTCATTTACTTGATTATTGTGTTAAGACATTTATGTTCTACATTTGATAGATTTGACTTGTAGCCTTGCAATATGCTCCATAGGTGTGGTCCCGCCTTATAACCTCCCTCCTCTCCTCCCTTCTGACTCCATTTCTCTCCTTCATCCTGTGCTATAGTTATGTTCTATCTTTCATATCAAAATCTGAGTAAATATAAGTAGGTTTCATAGAAGTACTGATATTCCATTTATTTCTATTTGTTGTTGCTTTAATTGCCTTTGAGGTCTTAGTCATACATTTGTCTAAGCTGATATCTAGAAGAGCTTTCCTTACATTTTCTTCTAGAATTCTTATAATTTCATGCTTTTCATTTAAGTCTTTTATCCATCTTGAATTCAGTTTTTAATTTCAAAGTGTTATGGGATACAAACAGTTTTGGTTACATGAATCAATTTTATAATGCTTAAGTCATAGTTATAAGTATGCCCATCACCCAGATAGTGTTCATTGTACCTGTTAAGTAGGTTTTTGCCCATGTCCTCCTTCCCTTTCATTGACTTCTTTTTTCTCTTAAGTTTTACTCCCTCTATGAATGTGTGTGTTCATTGCTTAGTTCCAATGTAATAATCAGTACATAGTACATGTGCTGTTTATTTTTACATTCTTTACTTTTACTTAGGATAATGGTCTTCAGTTTCATCTAAATTATCACAAAGGCATTAGGTCATCCTTCTTCATGGCTAAGGAGTATTCTGTGGTACACTATGACCATTCCATCTTGAATGCACCCAATCTGTATACATTTTTATGAGTGGTGATGGATAGGGGTCTTGTTTTTCTTTGTGTGGCTGTCCAGTTTTCCCAGAACCATTTACTGAATAAGGCTTATTTTTCTCAGTGTTCTTGTTTGCATTGTGGAAGATCATTTGTTTATAAGTAGATGTTTTTGGATTTGAATTCTCTCTTTTGTTCCATTGGTCCATGTCTCTACTTTTGTACCAAGACAGTGTGCCCATAATATTTATGTGGATGGTCACCCTGTATCATGCTATTTTGTTTAATTTAATATTACTGATTATAGTTTGAAGTCTGGTAATGTGATGCCTCCAGATATTTTTTTCTTAATTTCACTTGACTATTTAGGCTTAATTTTGGTTCTAAACAAAGGATATAATTAATTTTTTCTAGATCTATGTAATATGACATTAGTATTTTGATGGGGATTGTATTGAATCTGTAAATTACTTGGGGGGGGGGCAGTGTGGACATTTCCACAAGGTTGAAATACTGATCCTTCTTTATTCTTTTTCTGCTATGTTTGACTAATTGAATTAGTTTGAAAGCCTTGCCTCCTAGCTCAGAGATTCTTATGCTAAGTCCAGCCTGATGTTGAAGATTTCTAATGTATTTTGTATAACTCTTTAACAAGTTTTCATGCTTTTATTCATATCCTGAAACATTTTTGATCTTTTTTTGGTTGATTTTCAACTTTCTCTTCAATTCCATTCATTTTGCTTTCCGTCCATATTCTAAATTCCATTTCTGACATTTCAACAATTTCCTTTTGGTTAGGTTTCATTGCTGTGGATTCTATTGTGATCCTTTGAGAGTGAGGAACTATCTTGTTTTTTCATATCACAACAATTTCTTTTCTGCTTTCTTCTTATCTAAAATTTCTTATCTCAGCTCAGTGCTGATATCTGTACTTTGCTGGAAACTCTCCTACTCTTTGAGGAGGAGACATCCCTAGGTAATGATTTTCTGTCTTACTCTGGAGGGTTGATCAGTGGGAGAGTGGTTACAGTGGTTAGATTTGTATTAGTCCCCAAGCCTCTGATGGAGCTCAGACAGGGTGCTGGCAAGTCTCTCTCTATAGAGGTCAGTGGCATGACCTGAGCAGGTTGCAGAACCTTGGAGTATGCCTAAGCACATCATAGATTCTTGATCAGTACCTGGATAGGTCATGAGACCTGAGCCAGGGCTAGAGGGTCTTCATGTCAAGTGATGGGTTGTTTCTGAGGCCAGTATTGGAAACTTGGGCAGGGGATTCTGTGCGTGGGGGGGGTGCCGGATTGGATGTTTGGTGAGGCTATCTAGGAAGTAGTCGCAGGTGTCAGGACTGTGTAAGCTGCTATGTGGTGTGCAGAGTGGGGACTGTGCCCTGACAGCTTGTGCAAAAAACAAAAAAAATGTGACTCACTATGAGCTCTGTAGGACTATGGGGATATGACCCATCCATTAGCACACTGGGCTGGGACGTGTGGCCTTATGTTTTGAATTCAGGTCCCTGGGATGTGGACCTCTACGTGGCATGCAGTGGCAGGGGGCTTATTCCTCTGATAGAAACACACGACTGCTTGGGAATAAGGGGGTTCTTAATGCATATGTTGGGGGCTTGCTACACTGTTCTGGGTAGGGCTATAGGTGATGACCTGCTGGATGACTGGGCCTCTCATCCTACACAAGTCCCATTGAAGCTAATGCCATAGGATCCTTCAAGCTCTGCTCAAATTCTCTTGTGCTCAAGGCATATGAATGCATTGGCACTCCCTGCTTCCTTCCCAGCCTGTAAGAGGTGATGTCAGCACAGCTATAATGAAGTCAATTCCTGTGCAGATCAGGAGCTCTAGATTTGAGTGCTCAAGAGTAGCAACAACTGTGGAAAATCAGGAACCATGGCCACTAGGGTTCTTGCCGAGCCCACTGTCTGATACAAGTTTAGGCCTGTAATAGTGGGGGTGAGCAGAGCATAAGTAGTGTTTGCACTGGGAGCATTGGGCCCTGGGTCTTTCTCCTTTATCCCTTTCTTCCATGTTCAAGAAACTCTCCAAGGTATCTTCCAGTCTTAGAGAGTGGAAATTTCCTTACCCAGCTCCTTCAATCTAAGTGTCTTTCACCCATTCTGTGATGATTTACAATGCTCTGCTTGAGAGGGTCCATCTGTAGGAAAGGAACTACTTTCAGTTTTCTATCCTCTCAAAGAAAGTGGTGTGTGAGAGCTGTTTCTGCCCTGCCACTTTGACCCCCTCCTTAGTGATTGAGAGTATGGCTCTGGATCCAGACTGCCTAATTTGAAATCTTTCAGTAGCACTTATTAATCATGATACCTTGAAAGAGTTATTTATACTTTCCATTTTAAGTGTGATGTGCTTAATGGGTATAAAAATATCTCCTTCACTTGTTTTTTTTGAGAATTAAGTGGCAAAATTTATGTAAAACTCTGAGAATAGTGCTGTTATTATATGACAGTTATATGAGCCATTACTCAAAGGTTAAATGATAATATGTAGTTGTGAACCAATATACTGGCACTGCTTGCCTTTCCAACACCATGATAATATTTAGTTGTGAACCAATACAGTCATCCTCTGAGAAACTCTTGAGGTTTTTGACATAGGAATGACAAATTTTAACATTTACATTAACAATATGTCAAAACCTTTTATAACCTCAATGAAATGTGATGATAACAGTAAAAGCATTTGATATGTTACAGTATCCACAGGAGTTTAGTATAATTAATACTACTATTTAATATTAGTAAAATATCATCCAAATGTGAAACATTTAAGGACATGTGGAAAATTATACCTCAATTTGCTTCAGACTAGAATTTTATGAATGTAGATTATTAGCAGAAATAAAATACATTAAAATTATTCATTCAGATTAATTGTAAATATTTATTTATTTATTTAGATATAGAGATTATCCAAATTACATGGGAGCAACATTTTCTGGAAAAATATGTGTTACTAGTAATTCTGCAGGAGTTGTATTGGTATGTAGATATTAATTATTTATTCTTTCTGAAAAATTTACACATTTAATTTATGTAACTGGATAGCAAATAGTTAATAGTTTATATTTATGTTCACATTTACAAATTGCATTTGTTTTATTATTTCAGGTTCATTGAGGGTACAAAGAATTAGGTTACACTGTTTGCCTTTCCAGCACCATTTGTTGAATAGGTATTCATTTTCCCTTTTGTTTGGTTTACTGAAGATCAGATGGAAAGTAGAGACTGGTTTCATCTCTTGATTTGCTCTTCTGTCCCATATGTCTATGTCTCTATTTTTGTGCCAATACCATGCTGTTGTGATTACTGTGGACTTGTAAAATAGCCTGAAGTCTGGTAGGGTAATGCCTCTGGCTTTGTTTTTATTATTAAGAATAGCCTTGGATATACAAGTTTTTCCTGCTTCCATAAAAAATTAAAGTACTATTTTTTCCATTCAAAGTATGATGTTGGTGTTTTATTTATTTTTTATTCTTTATTAAATCATAACTGTCTACATTGATGCATTTATGAGGTACAATGTGCAGATTTGATATACAATGCAGAATGCTTACATCTAACTGATTAACATAACCATCTCCTCACTTATTCGTTATGGTAAGACATTCATACTCTATTCTTAATGGTTTATAAATGTATTATTGCATTAGCACATTAGGTTAGGTCCCCCCAGATGCCCTCCCTCCTCCTGGCATTGTCCTCCCATTCCTTCTCCTTCCACTTCCATCTTTCTTTCTAGACTATAGTTATGTTTTACCATTCATATGAATGTGTAGGTGATTATATACTGATTTCATAGTAGTATTGAATACATTGGATATTTCTTATTTCTGTTCTTGAGATACTTTCCTAAGAAGAATATGTACCAGCTCCATCCAGATAAACATAGAAGATGTGAAGTCTCCATCTTTTTATGGCTGCATAGTATTCTATGGTGCACATATGCCACAATTTGTCAATCTTCTTGGGTTGCTTTTATGATTTGGCAATTATGAATTGGGCTGCAATAAACATTCTAATGCAAATATCTTTGTTGTAAAATGATTTTTGATCATCTATAAATATGTAATAGAGGGATAGAAGGATCAAACAGTAGGTTCACTTTTAGTTCCTTGCATATTCTCCAAACTTCTTTCCAAAAAGGGCGTATTAGCTTACATTCCCACCAGCAGTGCAGAAGTGTTCCCTTCTCTCCATCTCCATGCCAAAATCTGAAGTTTTGGGATTTTGTGATGTGGGCTAATCTTACTGGTGTTAGATGATATCTAAAAGTGTTTTTCGATTTGCATTTCTCTGGTGATTAATGATGATGAGCATTTTTTCATGTGTTTGTAGGCCATGAGCCTGTCTTCTTCAGAGAAGTTTCTATTCAAGTCTCTTACCCACATAGAAATGTGGTTATTTCTTCTTTTCTTGTTAATTAGTTTGAGTTTTCTGTGGATTCTAATTATCAGACCTTTGTCAGAAGCATAACCTGTAAATATCCTTTCCCATTCTCACAGTTGTCTGTTTGCTTTATTTACTGTGCTGATGGTTGTCCAGAAGCTTTTTAGTTTGGTCAGATCCCAGTAATGTATTTTTGGTGTTAATTTTGTTATTTGTCAGGTGAGTACTCCTCATAAAAAATTGTCCCAGGCCAATTTGTTCAGGCACTTTCCCTGCACTTTGTTTTTCCCTGCACTAATATTTTCATAGTTTCATGCCTTAAGTTTTGATCTTTTATTCAGTGAGAGTCAATCACTGAAATAAGGGTCCAGTTTCATTCTTCTACAACTCACTAGCCAGTTCAAACAGCACCATTTGTTAAATAGGGAATCTTTTTCCTGATGACCGCTTTGGATAGGTTTGTCAAAGATCAAATGAGTATAAGTGGCTGAGTTCATCTTTTGGTTTTCTATTCTGTTCCATTAATCTACCTCTTTATTTTTATTCCCTTCCCAGGTTGCATTGAATCTATAGATCGCTCTGGGTAGACTGGACATTTTAACAATGTTGATTCTTCCCAGTTATGAGCATTATATATTCTTATGTTTGTGAATGCCTTGTGCAATTTATTTTCTTAGGGTTTCATAATACTCTTTATAAAGATCCTTCTAAGTGGGAAAGCTTTCAGTTTTGCTCTATACAGTATGAAGTTAGCAGTGGGTTTGTCATAGATAACTTTAATAAGCTTAAGAAATGTGCCATTTTTTAAGTGTTCTTGTTAGAAAAGGATGCTTAATTTTGTCAAATCCCTTTCCTGCATTTTCAGGAGGATCTTATGGTTTTGGTTTTTGCTTCCATTGATATGAGGTATTACATTTATGGATGTGAGTATATTAAATCAGCCTTGGATGAAGCATACTTGATCCTGATATATTTTTTAATGTGTATATACAATCTATTAGCAAATTATTTGAATATTTTTGCATCAATATTCATTAGTGAAATTGGTCTGTAGATCTCCTTTTTAGTTGGGTCCCTTCCTCCTTTTGAAATAAAGGTAATCTTTGCTTAGTAGGACATGCTTGGGAATGTTCCTTCCTTATCATTCATTGTTCTGGAAAAGGTTCTGCAGTATAGGTACAAGCTCATCTTTAAAGTTGTGATAGAATTGTGATTTGAAGCCATCTTGTCCCAGGATTTTTATTTTTTGTTATGAGAAGCTCTTTTTTCCCCTATTTTTGCATTCTCAGCACTTGATATTTGTCTATTCAAGAGATCTGTTTCTTCCTTGTTAAGTCCAGAGAGATGGTTTCATTCCAAGTATTGGTCCATTTTCTCCACATTGTCCACTGTGGGCCCAGAAATTTTGGGGCCTATTTTTGTGGTGGTCCAAAATAATCTCTTGTATCTCTGTGGTATCAGTTTTTATGTTTCCCCTTCCATTTCTGACTGAGGTTATTAAAGATTTTATTTTTCTATTTCTGATTAATCTGGTCAATAATTTATAATTTTTTTTTATCATTTTGAAGACCAAGTTTTTGATTCATTGATTTTCTGAATGATTCCTTTTTTTTTCTTTGATTCAACTTATTTCTGATTTAAGTTTGGTTATTTCTTTTCTTCTGCTAGGTTTCTTCTTGGATTGCTCTTCCTTTTCTATTTCTTTAAGACAATTCATTAGATTATTGATATGCTTTCCTTCCATGTTTTGGATGTAGGCATGTGATAAATTTCCCACTTATGACTACTTGTGCCATGTCCCACAGATTTTGGTAGCTTTTGACTTCATTGTTGTTATGCTCAAGGAAGTTAATGATTTCCTTTTGTATCTCTTCCTTAACACAACTTTCATCCAGTATTAAGATTGTTTCATTTCCAAAACACTTCCATCAAACTGGTTAACATAGCCTTCATGTCATTTTCTTAGTTATTGTTTTAAAACGTTCACATTCTATTCTTCGAAAGATTTACTTGTACCCTTGTAAGATAAACCTCAGAAGTGATCCCTCCAATCCCCCTCCCTCCATCCATTCTCCCCTCCCCTCTCTTTCCCCCTCCCGGTATTCTTAGGCTGTTATTAGATTATAGCTTTCATATAAAAGGTATAAATTAGCTTCATAATAGGGCTGTGTACATTGGATACTTTTTCTTCTATTCTTGTGATACTTTGTTAAGAAGAATATTTTCCAGCTCCATCCATGTGAACATGAAGGACGTAAAGTCTCCATCTTTCTTTATGGCTGCATAGTATTCCATGGTGTACATATACCACAGTTTGTTGATCTATGACAAACCTATAGCTAACTTCATACCATATAGAGTAAAACTGAAAGCTTTTCCACTTAGAACTGGATCCAGACAAGGATATCCAAGGATGTCACTATTATTCAACATTATGGTGGAAGTTCTTGTCAATGCAATCAAGGAAGAGAAGCACATGAAGGGCATTCAAATGGGGGCAGAGGAGTCCAAACTCTCACTCTTTGCTGATTATGTAATCTTATAATTAGCAAACTGCAGAGACTGAACTACAAAACTCCTGGAAAGGGTCAGGAAATACAGTAAAGTCTCATGGTGTAAAATCAATGTACATAAATCACTAGCCTTTGTATATGGACAATAACAATCAAGTTGAGAAGCAAATCAAGGACACAATTCCTTTCACAGTAGCTTCAGTGTAAGTGAAATACTTAGTAATATATCTAACAAAAAGAGGTGAAGGATCTTTACAGAGAATTATGAAACCCTAAGACAGCAGTTCTCAAACTGTGGGTCAAGACCCACCGGAACTGTATTAAATGGTTGTGGCATTAGGAAGGTTGAGAACCACTGCTTTTTGTGAAGTCATTGTGATGAGAAATGCTGGCAAGGAAATTGAAGAAATATAAGGGAATTTGAACTGGGGAAAGAATGAGAAAAGTCAATCAGGCGATCATGGTGTGAGGTGCAGTTAATAAGATAATAGAGTGGTTGAAGTTATTGATAAAGTTCTGTTGACAATGCCTAGATAATGAAACATAGGGAATGAATGGCTGAGGTAGGGTATGGGGTAAAATCAGTTGAAGAAATAAATTCTCATATTCGGTTTTTACAAAATCTTTACATTTGTGTTTTGACAAAGCCATAATAATCTTGAAGAATACAAAAATGGAGTGACTTTTGTAGTTTATATCAAGACATTTTAAAGTCTTAGTAATTATTACAGAGATAGATATTGTGGTAAACAACTAGATCAATAGAATAGAGTTCAGAAACAGAAAAAAGTATAGGTATACTATGCGTACTAAATTTTACCAAGATGACACTATAATGCACTTGTCAGTGGGTGGTCTTTTTCGGAAAGGACACTGTGAAATGATGCTATTCTAAAACTAAAATATAGGCAGAATATAGGTCTATATGTGAAAGTTATACAGGAAAGTTTCAAAAGATAAAAATAAACTAATGCATCCTTTATGAAAAGAAGTATGGAGAATCCTTGATGAACTAAAAGTTGACCTTCCATTTGATCCTGCAATCCCATTACCAATCATCTATCCATAAGAACAAAAATT